AGCCCCGCGCTCTGTCCGGGCCCCGCCTCTGTCTGTCGGTCAGTCTTTGAGGTCGACCTTGCAGCCTGGTTGGCTCAGCCCGCGCGGGTGAGGGCAACGGAAGAACGGGGCTGTCCCAGGTCTGGGGTTTCGCCGCAGCGGGGCAGGCGACTGCAGGGTGGGGCCTGGGCTAAAGGCGCGGCCTACCAGGGCCGGGACTCGGACCCGTGTGGACCGAGGGGGCGGGGCCCAGAGGAAAAAGGCGCAGAATGGCACGGGGGCGTGGCTCCTGCGAGGGGCGAGGTCTGCACGCACACGCGCCAGCCGAGGCGGGGGCCGTGGGACCTCTGGAAGTTCCCAGGCCGGAGAGCAGGCCTTCTTCCTCAGCCCACGGTGTGTGTGCATGTGTGCGTGCAGGGGCGCTTCACGCCACTTGGCACAGCCCCTGAAGAGGTCGGGGTCGGGGTTCTTTTGGAGAAGGAGCGAGGTGGCTGCTCTGCGACCATGAAGATCAGGGTCATCCTGGTGCTTGAGGACACCCACATGCACCTGGTCATCAGGAGCACACGCGGGAGGCCGCGGCCAAGCGGGCGAGGGCAAGCCTGGTTGGAGCACGCAGCAGACACTCCCCCACCCCCACCCCCGTTCTCTGGTCGTTATTTGGCACTTAAGGGCCTTCCTCTGGGCCGGTTTCCCCCGCCCAGGCAGGGCAGGCCTGCCCCCTCCACCGGGTTAGGGGCCATCCACTTACATGCTGCCTCCTGACACTTGAGCCACATGAGCTTCTTCCTGTGGGAGCCTGAGCCTGGCCCCACCTCATGCCCCCTGACCTAGTTTCCTCTGCTGTGGCTCCCACCTGGAGGGCATGCCACAGCACATGTGTTAGATCCTGGGGAGACCCTGGTCACCCTGCCCCCAGATGGTGAGCCTGCGGACTGCACCTGCCCACTGAAGGAAGCCGGGGTGGGTCCTGTGGCAGGGCGCCCCCTCTCCCAGAGGGAACACGCACTGAATGGTCTAGAGTTTGCCCACGTGTGGAGCCCAGCAAGGCCCGGTGGCATCTGAGCAGTCCTGGGCCAAGGTGGGGCCTGTGGCTCCTGACGGGGCCGTGGCCGTGGCTATTCCAGAAGAGAGTGAACCCTGGGCGGGGAGCCCTCTACAGCCCCTCCTCAGGGTGTGGGGTGCCAGCCCTGCCCGGGTCCTCCTGGCCCCTCCATCCAGACCTGGGCAGTGGGCCAGCCCATACTCCTGGGGCCCTTCTCCACAGACAGGAGCCAGTGTGCAGCTTCCAGAGGACTCTGGGGCCACTGCAGCAGGAGTGAGCCAGGCTCCACACGCTCCCTGACCCCTGGGTTAACTGGACCTGAGAGGTCTTCCCCAGCAAGCAGGCCCTCAGCATCCTGCCCTGGTGCCCAGGGTCTGAGCTGAATAAAGCTCCGAAAGGCCATTCTCAAAGCCAGCAAGCACGGAGACTGTGGGGGTGCTCGATGAGGGGTCACGCTCGCTGGGAGTCCCACTGTGGACTGAGGGGCCAGTGCCCACGGTGGCTGGCTGTAGTCCAAGAACAGGCCATCGCCCTGGAGGCGATGGCTGTGGCCAGACCCTCTTCCTGCCAGGCGCCACAGCCCACCCCTGCCCCTGCCCCTGCACTGTGGCTTCAAGACGACTCCCAAGTTGGGGTGAGAAACTCCGCTTTTTATTTCTTCTCATGGCAGGCAGAGACTGGTACCCCAACGGGATCTGCAGGCCTGGATGCACCTGCTGTGGTCGGCCCAGCTCACGGCAGGTGCCGCTGTGCTCAGGCAGGGTGGGGACATGAGCCCGGGACTGTCCCGGTGGGCCCTGCGGCATCGCTGCTGTGGCACTGCCCGGCCTCGTCCTAGGTGCCTGTGGGATTCGTGATGGCCCTCACACACAGGGGACAGCACAGCTGAGGAGGGCAAGGGCAGTGTCGCCGACCTGGGCTCTGACCCAGTGACACGGTTCCAGAAGCTTCCAGAACCCTCAGCCTGCTTGGCCACCCCCTGACCCAGCAGAGTCCATGGAGAATCCCACAGGAGTACAGGTCTACCCTGGGCAAGGTGCTGCTCTGGGAGCCATGGGGCTCACCCACTGACCCTGGGGTCTGCAAGTGACCTCGTCCACACAGATTTGCCAGCTGTGGGGCTGAGCCCTGGCCCTGCCTCTGCAGGCTCCAACATCTCCACAGCTCGCCCCGAATTCTGAGCGTCCTGGCTTGGGGTGTGTCTTTGCCGCTGGCTCACATAGCCTTTCGGGGGCTAGGGCCCGCCTTGGTGGGCTCCGCAGGCTCGCAGCCCTACCACCTGATGCTGAGACCAGAGTCGGCCTTCTCCACGGCGTGGTACTGCGTGTGCAGCAGGCGGCTGGCGCGTGCTGAGTCCTCACCCTGCAGCCAGTGCCTGTACAGCTCCGGGACGCCCGGCGTGTCCTCGGGTGCCTCCACCCGGACTGAAGCGTACAGCTTCTCCACCTGCTGCAGCAGCTCCCTGCTGGGCATGTCGGCCGCCCTGAGCTGACCTCCACCGTTCAAGCAGCCTGTGGCAGAGCAGCCAGGGAGGGCAGTCAGGGCATGTGCCCCTCACGCCCACCCCTGTGGCTCCCAGAGGGCTGTGCGCCAAGCCCAGGGAGGCGCTACTTGCAGGGCAGGCCATGACCTCCACATAGGGGTAGGGGTAGGGGGCGCACCTGCAGGCAGGTCATGACCTCCACGTAGGGGCAGGGGTAGGGGAGGTGCACCAGCAGGGCAGGCCATGACCTCCACGTAGGGGCAGGGGTAGGGGAGGTGCACCTGCAGGGCAGGCCATGACCTCCACGTAGGGGCGCACCTGCAGGGCAGGCCACGACCTCCACGTAGTGATAGGGGCAGGGGTAGGGGAGAAGCACCTGCAGGGCAGGCCACGACCTCCACGTAGTGATAGGGGCAGGGGTAGGGGAGGTGCACCTGCAGGGAGGCCATGACCTGCACATAGGGGCAGGGGTAAGGGGCGCACCTGCAGGGCAGGCCATGACCTCCACATAGTGATAGGGGCAGCGTCCTCGCCTGAGCTTCTGTACCAGGTTCTGGATGTTGCGGAAACCGTACGCGGCTGCGAAGTGCAGCAGCACCTGGCCCTCTCGCTCCAGGGTCACCTCTTGGAAGTCCTTGTTCCTGGGGGCACAGGCTGGTTGTCTACCTGGCCTCCATCCACCCGCAGGGGAGGCCCGTGGGGCTTAAGGGCACGGGTCCGGGCACCTCGGAGGGGCCGGGTGGGGCTGCCCGCTCACCTCAGGGGTCTGTAGGTGAGTTCGTCCACGTGGATCCCGAAGAGCTCTCGAGCCGCATGCCGGAACACGTGCTCCAGGTAGCCCCCTGAGCCCCCGCCCCGGTGGCTGGTGGGTTCCTCGGCAGACACGCTGCTGGGCCTGGGGAGGGGCAGGTCAGCACAGGCCGGAGGGCAGACACGAGGACAGTTTCTGCCTCTCACCCAAGACTGCTGGCTTTTCTGAGTGGGAATTGACTCTCAGATGTGAGGGGCCATCAGGACCCTGGGGCTCAAGCTGTGTAAAACTGGCCCAGCCCCAGCTGCCCAGTGGCCACTGAAGAGGGGAGGTGGGATGCCGCCCACCCCCATGGGTGCCATCTATAGCCAAATGAAGCCTGCCTGGACCCGTCCCTGCGAACTGCCCCAGGCAGCCGACTCACAGGCTGTCCAGAGGGGCTGGCTCCAGGTCTGGCAGCGAGACCCCTTGTTCCTCCAGCAGCTTGTAAACTTCTCCTGCCACAAAGCACAGCACAGGCGCACTTCAGCTGGGGTCTAGTGACACCCGCTAAACGTCCGCTCCGTCTGAAGACCTTCGGGGAACCACCTTATTCATGCCCTGGGGTGGCATGGAAGTGATGAGGGTCCCTGGCCATCAGCGCCCTGTCTGCCCCGCACCCTGGGCAATGCACTGCCCGGGCTTGGACCCCACACGTGTGAGCCTAGCTGATGAGGCCGGCGCAGAGGGGCGCAATGGCGACTGTCAAACGCCTTCTTGGGCCAGTGGATGGGACGCTGGTTAAGGCCCTGGATCCCACGTGGGTGACTGCGGTTCAGGAGGGGCTTGAGAAAATAGAACCACTGTGTGCCCAAGAAGCAGCAGCCTTCACTTTCCCTTTCTCTGTCTCTCTTGGCAAGAACATGTGCCCTGTGGCAAAAGGAAAAGGAAAAAAAAAAAAGCACAGAAAAACAGCTCCTCTCCTACAAAACAGGTCCTAGGGCCTGAGCTGATCTGCTGCCCCTGCCTCACGCCGGAGCACAGGAGGGGTGCCACTGAGCCCTGAGTGGCCGTGGTCTCTGAGCTGCGTCAGCTGCAGATGGCCTACCCAGCTTTGGGACAAGAGGTGACGGGGTACCCCACCCAGGAGCCACACCTGTTGTCAGGACACAGTCCACGTCTCGAGTCTGGTATTCGTGGTTGAAGAAGTCAGGTCTGGAAGCTTCCAGCTTTTTGTCATAGCAGGGCATCACTGTGACGTGGTAGACCTTGTCAGGGGCCAGGCCCTACCCGGACATGGACACCACTCATCGCCTGACCCCAACATGGTGTGGCTCCTGCGTGCGGCACTCCCTGGGCAGCGGCCAGGGAGTGACCACAGCCTCAGGTCATTTCCCAGAAGCCTCCCCGAGGGCTCTGTGGCTGTGTCATAGACACTGCGGGCCCTGGCTCCGAGGACGACCTGACCCATCCCAACTGGCCCTCCTCCTCGACAGAGCCAACCCTGTGATGCTCCTTGGGCCACTGGCTGCTCGGCCATCAAGGGGCTGACACTCGGGCAGTCGGTGCAGGACAGGCCCCGCAGACCTGTCGTCAGCTACCCCACAAGTGCTCCCCACCACAGCTCCCAGGCCACGGGTGCCCGTGCTTCCTTGGCAGCCTGGGCACCTGCTCCTTGGCCCTGGTCTGCCCCTCTGGGGCAGACGGGTCACACGGGAACTTGCCTGGGCAGCGAGAGGCGAGCTGAGAGGGGAGCCACCGTGCACCCCGGAGAGCGCGGTCACCACCCTGAGGAACCCCCACGCCTCCGCGAGGCTGCATCCCAGGGGCTCAGCGCCCCCCGCGGCGGTCACCTGCTGCTGGGCGAAGAAGTCCTTGACCAGTGAGCCCATGACCTGCTGCGGCGAGCGGGCGGTGCTGAGGTGGGGCGTGAGCAGGGGGCCGTGGGTCTTCTCCGCGTAGCAGATCCAGCCTGTGCGGAGTGGCAGCTGGCAGGGCGCGGGGACCCACCCAGCCGGCCGCGTTCAGGACTCACGGCCGCCTTGGGGCTGAGACGGCCCGGCCCAGGGAGCTGCCCGTCCTTCCCCGCCAGCTCCAGGAATGTCCCCCACACACGGGGGGACGGACGCCACACCCACACGCACCTGGGCAGGCCGAAGCCAGCAGCGGCAAGGCCTGCGGGGAGCCGGCCTGCTCTCGGAACCGCCGCACGAACTCGCGCTGGCTCTCAAGGAGGCTGAAGTTCCGCGAGAAGGCAGTGTCAAAGACGAAGTGGGCCCCTGGAAGGTGCGCGCTCCTTAATCACACGGAGGCATGGGGGACGGCGCAGTTCCCACCCCAGCGGGCTCTGCCCCAGGAACGCCTGGCTGCTCCGCTGTGGTCGGGTCGGGCGCTCTGAGATGGCACGGCCCAGGTACAGGGACCACAGTGCCGCCAGGGAACCAACCATTGGGTATCCCGGTGGAGCGCCTCGGCCCCATGGCAACCCTTGGGAGTAGAGGTCTCAACTCTATCCAGAAGCCACTGTCACCCGACATGGTCGCAGCCTTACACAGGTGCTCCTCCAACCACTCCGCGGGCGGCTGGGACAGCCTGGCGCCCCCAAGACCAGCACCGCCCAGGCCGTGCAGCGCCACCTGCTGGAGCTCCAGCCGGCTCTCTCTGAGCCCAATCAATCACAGCTCCAGGGACCTGTGGGGACGACCCGCCCGCCACCAGCTAGCCCACAATCCTCCATTGCTTGTCGTTCCTGTCTGGCATGATCCAGGCCTTACGGGGCTGACCCCAGCACCGTGGTGATGTCAGACCAAGGCCTCTGCCAGGGTGCACGAGACCCCACGGGAGGGGGTGTGGCAGCGCGGTCTGGACCAGCAGTCTCCCTGGCAGGCCGCGCAGTAAAGGCAAAGTGGGAACCGGGCGCGGGATGTGTCAGGCCTAACATGCTTGATGCACGGCCCTCTCGCTAGAGCTCGGCCACCCAAGGCTCCACACCTACCTATTTTTTTAAAGAATGAAGTTAATTTCTTGGCAGTCTCTGTAGGGTTTAGCTGGAACCTTGCAGCCAGGGACGCTCTGGACTGGGGTGAGACTGAGACAACAACCAGCTTCTGCTGACCTGGAGCTGCTGCCTGCAAGCACGGAGGGACAGAGCCTCTACGGAGGGACAGAGCCTCTGCAGGCTGCTGGCTGCCGGGGCTGTAGGCTTCCGGCTGCTGGGGCCGCAGGCTCAGCACCCTGGGCAGCCAGTGGGCATGCACTAGCCAGAGACAGACAGAAAGAGTGCAGGAAGGAGAGACAGCACCCCAAGGGGCACGGCCATGCCACAACCCTTCTCCCTAGTTCTCTTTCCTCTCAGGGTTTCAGGCATGCCAGGTCCAGGACTCGAACCACATGGTCGGCCATGTGGGATCAAGTCACTTAGACCATCACGCCATGGGCTAGAGACCCTGGACTTTCACGGAGATCCTGTTGATCATGCTTAAAATATGTAGGGGACAGTGGGTGGTGCAGAGGGCAGACATGACACCCTGCAAGGCCGAGCCACACAGGAGAGTCCCTGGTACAGGAGGCACATGTGTGCCTGCACCTGGAGGTGGCTGAGGTTGGGTGGGCTGTGCCACTGGCCTGCCTCTTATGGAATCCATAAACGAGCGAGAGCAGGGCCACCCAAAGACACTGGGCGGCGTCTGCAGGCTGCTGGGCGGGCCCCTGGGTGGAGTCTCGAGTGGCCCTCTCACCCACCTCGTTGGCGCGGAGAACCTTCCGCAGCTCCTCGTGGCTCTGCTGTGCTATGAGCACGGTCTCTGCCGACGTGACGCAGCCACTGCAGGCCAGGCAGTCGTTCAGAGACACCTTGGCCTTCTCCAGCTTCTGGCTCCCGCCATCCTGCGGAGGAGTGAGAACCCAGTGCCAGACAGCCCCCAGCTCTCAAGACGGACAGCGTGGTGGTCGGAGGGTCTTATGTGCTGCCCAGCTTTGAAAGAATTAGCTGTTGGGACCAGCAAGTGGCATAATGGTTATGTCGCTGGACTCCCATACGGCTGACTGCAGTTCAAGTCCTGGACCTGGAAGCTTGAAACTCATGCTTGGTGTGTGTGCGTACGTGCCAAGGAAATCCCAAGAGAATGGAGAAGGGATTGTGGCATGGCCATCCCCCCGGTGGGTGATTTCTTGCTTTTTGTCTCTGTCTCTCCATCGAGCACATACATGTACCCTATAGCAAAAACCTCTAAAAGTAAAAAAGAACTACTATGTATCACAGAAGTATGTCCAGGGTCAGCAGGTGGCATGGAGGTGAGGATGCTGGATCCCACGTGGCTAAATGTATGGTTTGAGTCCTGGCCCCAGCGGCTTGAGAATCATGCCCCGGGTGCGTGTGCATGCTCAAAACCCTGAGAGAAGGGACAGTGGCATGGCCATCCCCCACTGGGGGGATTTCTCACTCTCTCTTCTACCCTCTCT